AAATGCATCCAAAACATCAACCCTGGTAATCCACAGACCTGGATGACAGAGTATGGGAAAGTACCCTTGCACTGGCATTCTTGGGCAAGAAATCCAAAAAGCATTCTCATGACATGGAAGATAAATGGGATCAGAGAGAGGAGGAGAAGATGAGCAAAGACCCTGACAACAGGAAGTGAAAGGATGGGAACATGGAAAGGTAGATATAGACTCAGCTGGCCTTGGAGCAGAAACTAAAGCATAAGATAAAGACAAAAACTAGTGTATATAATGAGGACTGCTGCTGAGAAATAAGTGTGAGGAAGGTGTACATTAGCTAGCAGAACATCCCATTACAACAGCATAGAAACTAAGTAAGTGGGTATAGAGCAGAATAATTATAATTTAATGTGGTGAAAAGAAGAGCATGAAACTCTTCAGAAAACCCTACAGAGAGTGATGAAGTGCCCTGGGAACAAAGTGAAGTGATAAGATTTAATGCAGTATTGTTGTAAGAAAGAGATAAAGGGATGAAAATTGTGCACTGAAAAGGGAAATAGAAGTTAAAGATCCTGCCTCCAAACAAGTAAAAAGAGTTCCAAAGACTGTGAATCAAGGAATGGAAATAAAGAATGGCTGTAAGTCAGAACAAACAAGTCAAGTAGATGAGGAGGATGAGGCATTCTAGTATGGATGCACAGTTGTTTGAGAAATTAGTCCATATGGATTCTAATGTTAGGTAAAGGAGGGAAGACAGAGTCAACTTTAGTCTGGTTTCATGAAGTAAAGGATGTGAGGACACAGAGGAAAGAGAATGAAAGAATATACTTGTGAAATCGTGTCAAGGAAGAGATGAGAAAGGTAAGGATTTTCTCCACAGGTAAAGCTGTGCCTAGAACAAAACCCTGGTGAGGGATATAACTGGTCCAAATTATTGTCATCTTGGTCATGTTCAAACTGGGGAGAAGGAACATCAGTTGAATGGATGTGTGAAGAGGCCCAGGGTGTATGAAGTAACCTAACATGTTGTACAACAGCTGACATGCCCTCCAAAGACAAAGTGCCACTAGTAGTTGCAGGTCCTGTGTTAGGAACATTGTCACTATCATGGGACGAAGTGGAAGTTACCATGACTTGAGAAGTCATAATGGCAGGTAATCAATTTTTTATTCTGAGCAAAATTAAATAAACCACGCTGCTTATGTGAAATATAAACATTAAACCAGGTAAACTTGAACAATAACACACTTGTAAACTACTGCAAATCTTAAGTAACTGATTAACAATTTTGAAACATGCCCACTCTAGACAATGCGGAGGAAAAAGAATGAAGCTAATTTGAATGTAAGTATTTAGGCGGAGTTACTGTGTAAGGAGGTGGTATTGCTCTCTTATATGGTGGAGGGCTATTATTACACTAGCACAATTCATGTTAAACACTTATGTTTCAGGTGCGAGTTAGCTCAAGGCTAATGGCATGCAAATCTCATAGGCAGATGTGCAAAGGAATCAAGCTATTCTGTGTGAAAAGGTGAGGTATCATCTTGGATAATCAAAACTAAAAAAACTACACCAACAAAAAATAACTTTGAGGAGAAAGTAGTAATATACTTATACACTACAGTTACAGGATTAATTCAATTATACGACAACTTAATAGCATAGATTACATCAATTAATGTCACATAAAATAAGTGATTATTTAAAATCACTATTAAATTAAATAATGTCATAAAAATAATCAACTGATACAAATTACTTTTATATTGTTACCATTTTCAGTTATTCCAACTACCCAAGTACTCAAAGTATTGCCATTATGATTTCTCATTATTATTTTTAAGTAATTCAAGATTATTCAGCTTAAATGAAAATAAAAAATAATTTAAATTAGCATTTCTGATTATTCTGACTATCCAAGTCTCATGTGAGAACAATTAGTTGAATGGAATCAATTAATGAGCCCAACAATTAAAAAATCAGCAAATTCCATTAATCACTCAACTGTAGTGCACACAGAATAATACAGCTTGCAATTTGCTGTAGACCTGCATGGAAAATAGAACAACACTTCTTTATGTAAAAATGATGAACTGTCAGTAAAATATCAATATGCAACTTCTACACCCTGAACTATTGAAATTTTCAGAGGTTATTTTCCTAAATGTGCTTCCTCTAGTACATTAATTGTACTTTTTTAAATGAAAACTTCATATGTACAGCTGATATCTAAATACTTATTTTTCTTCTAAATTTAAGTTGTTAATCCTAGGATGCATGAGGTCTAACCAGAGATCTGTACAAAGAAACATTAACCTCCTTTGATTTGCATTCAATATTCCTGTAGAAACAACTCAAAATCCTATTTGCGTTCCCACTGGAAAAAACACCTATATAGAAAACTTAAAGAGAATGATCAACCAAAACAGTAAAATCCTTTTCTTTCATAACACTATTGAAGAACTTACTATCAAGGTGGTACTTATAGTTTAGATTAAGGTAGCCCACATGTATTACCTTGAAGTTAGCATAATTAAATTCCATCTGCCACCATATATTTGTCCAATATGCCACAATGATCCAAATCTCTTTGTAAAACAACATCCTCCTCACAGTCAATTTCACCCCAAACTTTAATGTCATTATCAAATGTGATCAGTTCCTTTATCAATATCATTAATGTATATCAAAAATAGTAAAGTTTCCAGTACAGATCCCTGAGGTGGTAACCGGACAATTAGACACCTAAAAAATGAGGAAGTGGGACATTTATACACCTAATACTTTTAGAGGGGAGTTAAAACTAAACCATTTCCTCTTTAATGGCATCATTTATGACCAGTTAAGTGGGATCTTTGTTGGGTCAAATGATAGCCAATAGTTTTATATGATATATAATGTAGATTTAAACTGTTGATAAAATAGACCTAGATAAACACAGTTCATATAATGGAATAAATTTAAACTAGTAATGTAATAGGTCTAAATCTATTTAGTTACCACTTTCAAATTTTCTGACATATCTTAATTGCTTTTTAAAATTTTTTGCCTGCTAGGCACTTGAGTGTAATTTATAGTGTCTTTGATATGCTTATATAGAACATATCTGGAACATATCTGTTGTAATTATTGTTTTAATTTATAATAACCAAGTGGTGTCTAAATGTTCTACTTAATCATTTTTTTAGTTGTCTAACTGTCCTGGATTCCCCTGAGGTACCTCACTTAGAAATCAAATCTAGTTTGATTGAAATCCATTTGCTTCCTTTTCTCTAAACAGCCCTTATAATCCATTGAGCTAACTTATCCCTCACATTTATGTGTCACTTTGTCAAAAGCCTTCTAAACATCCAGGTATACTAAATCCACACCTTTACCCACATCACTGTTACAGCTGAGAAATTAGTGGAATTTGATAATTGATTAATTGTAGGACTCATTAATCAATTACACTGAACTAACTGGTTATTCTCACAAAAGATTTGAATAGCTAGAATAACTGAAAACAGTAATAATTGGAAACACTAATTTCAATTAGTTGACTATTTTTGTGACAGTAACAGATTGAATTGTAATTTTGATTAATTGATTATATCAAGTTAATTGCCCAGTAGTAACTTCTTTGAAGAAGATCAAAATATTTGTGTGATACTTTCTCCATGTTAAATCATGATCTTTCCAAAAAATTTTAAACTTGATCAGGTGGGTTTGCAACTAATCTTTAATCAGCCTCTACAAAACTTTTACCATCACAGAAGTAAGACTAATAAGTTTACTTATAATTACCTTAAGATTGCTTATCATCTCCCTTAAAAAGAGGTGTAACACTACCCAGTTTCCAGTCTTTCAGCACTTACCCATAAAATAAATGATAATTGTTTTTTCTAAGGGGCTTACTTATGCAGTTCTTATGCTCTTTTAGCACCCTTGGCTCACAAATCTTTAGTTTTTAGACTTCTTAATTTTTCTTCAACAACTTCATGATCAAAATTTCCCACTAGTAATTTCTTAGAATCTGGAATATTGTTCACATCTTCTGTAATGAAAACTGAAGAAAAATTTAGCAACTCAACCATCCTATAATCTTCCACAATAACCCTTCCCTCATCACCCCTCAAGTGCCCAATTCCCATTTTAACATTATGCTTACCTTATGTATTTGAAAATAATCCTAACTGTTAGTTTTATGGTTTCAGCTAACCTTTTTTCATATGTTCTTTTGATTTTTTAACACCCTTTTAACTGACTAAATTGGTTTTCTTTAATTCTTGAAGTATTCCATTTCAGTAGTTAAACATTTTAAATGTGTAACATTTATTTTTTCTATCTAATGCATTTTAGTGAGCTACCCTGATTTGTTACTTACAGCCGCCAGTTTTTTCCTGTGGAACACACCCATCTTAAATATTTAACAACTTATTTTAAAAACCTTGTACTTATCATATGCATTTCTATTTAACTTAGTTTAACAATTCTCCATTCTAACCATTATAATAAACTGTGGAACAACTGTTCTATTATAAGAAATATTACAGTAAATCTTTAATTAAAGAGAAATTGAGACATAACAATGCTGACTTCAAGGCAGGCTCTTACAAACAGTTTCCAATTATTGCAATAACTAAACATCATAACAAATCACTTTTCTTTGGTAAAACTTAATTAAAAACACCTAAGTCACTTATATCTTTTGCCAAAGTTTATGGAAAAGAATCTGATTCACTTTGGAATAAGTGTGATTAAAGTATATATGGTTTGGAATTTTGTTTTTTAAATTGGCATACTCTTATTACAAGCTTATCAAATTAAATAATTTATAATAAAACAAAAACTGCTCAGGCACATCATATACTATAGAAGTATTTGTTACTAATTATTCTGTATTGCTTAAAAACTAAATATTAACTTTGCTGTTTCATGTTTATTAATCTTGATAATACTTTTATGAAAGAATATATTAAAGTTATTGACATATTAACCCTTGATATATGTGCACAAAGTAAACAATATCCAACTCATACCTCAAGGCTGTTTACATTCACTGCTCGACTTGCAGCCAATGAAGCAAACATACAAAAAATGGAACTTGGAGATCCAAGTTCTTCACTTTCAGGTTCATTTGTTCTTGGAGTCTGGTGCTCATTATCTTGGTTGAGCAAATTTTGGTGATTTTTACCATTACTGGATAACAGTTCATTGTGACAGGATGATTGTGAAACATTGGTTATTTCTCGCAATGGATATTTAAACACTTCACTGTTCAGAAGAGAATCTTTGGATATCACTGGAGACACATTTTGAATGTTTTCTTTCAGTACACTTTTCCTAATACATGCTGAATCATTACACCTTTGTAGCTTATTTTCTGTTGATTCAGGATTTTGCTTTTCTGAGGAACGTTTCAAAGGTAAAGACAACAAGGATTTGATTGAATCATCACTGACAATACTAACAAGTCCTTCAACATTCACTTTTTCTGACATCGTGAAAATGAAAATAGAGAATACCAAACCTAAAAGCAAAATTCAATAAAAGAAGTATCAATATATAAAAAGGAAACACGGGTGTTGAATTAGACAATCGTAATTTAGTGACAGAACACTTGCTTGTAGTATATAGATAAGCATCAATAAACTAATGAAACTCTTATTACAAAACTGTCAATTTGAACAATTTAAAGAATTCGTTATTCAACTGAAGTAGTAATGGTAGTTGTCATAATCGTTATAATCAATCCAATCTAATCAAAATATTTAGGTGTACTTCTGTTGTAAAAGTATAGGCATATGAGGTACAATGTACAGTAGGTGTTATTGAAACATTAATCACAAAAATTTAGGGGCTTCAACAGAACTTTTAAGAAGTTAACAAGGGGAGCTCCTGAAATCTACTCTCAGATGGATGTTCTCATAATCAGACATTTGACACAAGGAGAGTGGTATCTCCATCTGTTCCCCCCCTCAATTCGAGCATTGTGCGAGTTTTGCAGATGATAATATTCATGATAGTGAATACAGGCAGCTTAGAAAAATCTTATTTTCATGACTGATCAGTAACAGAACTGAGGTCTACTATAAATCAAATTAGATCTTTATGACTCTCCTATTCCACTGTTTATTCAAGATCTTATGGGAAAACACTTATGAATACATTATGAGACTGTAATATCAAATCAGCAAGCTTTAAATATGTCAGATCTGTGGAAAATATCACTTGTGCTAATAAGTGTACTCATAACAAATCCACATTGACAGCAACTGTCACACATTCCATTAATTTGGGACATATATATATGTATAGTGTGAAAAGTAGCATACTTTGCTGTAATAAAATACAGACTAAAATGGGTGCTACTATAGCGTGAGGTCTACCACCATATGTCGCCTACCCAGGTCTATCAAACATGTATAAAAATAT